TCTGTTGCATTCTCATTTTAATTTCATAATGAAAAATATCTGAAGCTGGGCAGAGTGTGGCAAGTAGTAATAGAGCAGAGTGGAGCAGGAGAGGGAGCGCTAGGTGGAGCAGAGTGGGTTGATTTGGAGTTTCATGCTAGTGCTACCTTAAGTTACATACTGTAGCTTTAAATAATTAAATACCTTCAGAAACTTTGTGCTTTTCTTTTCAAAATTAACCAATTTAATCAACTGTAAAATAGAGGTACAACTTTATCAGGCTCAGGCTGTCCCCATGAAGTAGCATGTCTATGGATACATATCTGTAAGCCCCATTCCTTCAGTCCATCTGCTTACAAACCTTTCTATATTAAACCCACTACCTTCTCCCCTTGTTTGTACATACATATTTCACCAGAGATATTCAGTAGTATGTCACATATACACTACTTAGTGATCTCAGTTACTAGTTATTATGACTTCAAGTTTGTATTATATCCACATACAGTGAAACTACAGTTTCAGTTATACAGTACATGCATATAATAGATTAATGCATCTATATTCTACCAATAATCACCTATAATGACTAAAAATGTTGTAATCATAGATACAGAGTGATCATAGATCACCAATACATAATGGCAATCATTATACAGTATTATTATGGGAATGATAAAGCTGTGCATGTGTGAATGTGTGCAAAGCTTTTGTGCATGCCAAGTGCAGATTTGTGTGTGTGGGGGTGAGTGAGTGAAGCTACCATAGTAGAAGATAAACCATCTGTTACCAAGAGTTGGACTGTAAAGATGCAGTTTCTCACGTCTAAGGACCTGACACCCAGAATTATTAATGGTGAATAATTCATCTGTTCTTCCACAGCAGATGCTTACAGTGAGTGACTGAACATGTCTATATTTTAATGTGCTGTTGGGGAAGCATTTCACTCTTGTAGAAACTGCTCTTACACAGTCACACATGGTAAGCCACACAAAAAGGGAAAGTGTCTGTAAACAAGCCAAATGACTGTAACATCATGTATAGGCAATTTGTGCATATAGAAAGAGTGAAGTCACAACCCGACATTAATGGCCTGGCCAGTGTTCACAGCAGCTGTCAGACAAGGTCTGTGATAAGGGCAGCACTTATGGAAATGATGACAAGTTAATGTCATTGCACCTTAATGTTGTGTTGCATTAAATGTCGTATGTCATACAGCCGCCTGTCTGGCAACTGGTAGATACGCAGTTTGTAAGGAATGCACCGTTCAGAACATGTGCTGCTTACATTTGAGTGAAAATCATTCAGATTCTCAAGTAAAAGTAGAAATACCTTTAAGAAAAGCTCTTAATCGGCAGAAAATAGTTCTGCATTCAACATACAGCTCAAGTATATTTATATTGGTAAATTATTGATGCAATACGTGTCCTCAAGAAAATATTTTTATTAACAATGGTTGAGATGGCTTTGTAATGTGTAAGGCAGCACTCATGGATGAATTATTGAATGGGTCTGCTGCACACTGACCCAAAGGACGACAAAACAAGTATTAAAAAAAACAAGAAAAACATAGATGCAAAACAACTACAAAGTGATATGACACTGCTAAAAAAGACACAAATGACTAAAAAGCATTTCAATATCTTGCAGCTCGTTTTTTAGAAACAATTTCTGATAAACTCCCAATTCCCTTGTTTGATCATTCCTTGATCCTCACTCAACCCGGAGGTCATTCCAGTCTGCCATCTTGAAAGATGTCCCAAAGCTCCTATTCCTGCTCTAAGGAGCGAGGGGGGGTGCCCAGAGGAGACATAAGTAAAAATTCAATAGAGCATCTTTCATGGAAGTCTTTATGGACCGACACAGCCCTTTATTGGACATCAGCTGGTGATTGAACAGCTGAAGATTCAGGGGAAATGACATCTCATGTCTCTAAAATCATTTTCTTGATTCCTCTCTCCTCACATTTACTCCTCACATCTTTTCTTTGCATCTTACATGGGCGGGGCTAAGACACAAGAAAAGTGAGGAAAACATGGATGCAATGAAGGGAACTGAGATGTACCCAAATTTACCAAGCTGAGAAACAGTCGGACTTATCGGTTAAAGTGACACATTTTCTCAGGAGTTGGTGGAGAAAAACAGCAAAAAGGAGAGTGAAGGTTACTTCTGCATTCATCAGGCAGCAAGAAACAGAACTCCAAACTAATACTAATACTGCTTTGTGTCCTCTGAATATGTAGGCCAAAAAGAGCCAAAAAGCCAGCTGTGTGCTAACGTGTTAGCATACCGATCTACTGGTCTGACTCAAGAAATTCAACAAGCAGTTTCTCAGAAAAAAATGGTCACTATGAACTTGATCATGCCTGATTAATTTGGCATGGGGTCTACTCAGATATGTCAACAAAAATCAGAGAATATTCCCTTCAGTTTGCTTTGGAACAGAGCCGTGGCTTCATTTCAAGAACAGGAAGCTTTTGGATTCCTCTCTAATATTAATTGTGGAAATTGACCATGTTCATCTTACTGATATCAGTGAACTGACATCTGAAACTTCATTGTGTCGTGCTTCTTCTTAAAACTGATCTCAAAATGTTTGCCAAAGGCACAGCGAGAACTGCACTGAGCTGCTTTTTCAGCATACACAACTCCGTAATTGGACGCAGTCTGTGGACGACAGGAGCATTGTGATGGGATGAGAAATTAGGATATGGACCCTGTCTGGTGCCTTGAACGCTGCTCCATGGCAAAGATCCCAGTAGATGACCTGACACCATGTCTGTGGTGACAGTGTAACATGATGATGACAAACCTTAAAACATTCTTCACAACATAACTTTAGTCGCTGATGGCAGCTTGACTGAACAGTCGGGAGGGTTGCTATGATGTCAGTTAACTGATATACTGATGTGTTCAGTACATAATAGGATGCTTTTAGAATCGATGTAGAACTTAAAAAAAAACAACTGGCACATGTTGAACACCACTTGTTGTCCAGATGGGAGATTCAAAAGAACACTGCTGAGATAGAGTTTAGTGATTTGACGGCAAAGGAGGACCACTGCCGTCATCATAAATCATCTCACAGATCAAATTTTGGGAAAACTAACAAAAAACAAATTAATGTGCATTTTCATCAACTACTGTTAATGCAAATATTAGGAGTTTTCAGCATACATTAGGGTGGCTGTGGCACAGGGGTGGAGTGGGTTGACCTCCAATCGCAGGGTTTCCAGTTCCATTCCCAGTCTCTCCAGTCCACATATCGAAGTATCCTAGGACAAGAACCCCTAACTGCTCCCAGTTGCCAGGCCAGCAACTTGCATGGCAGCTCTGCCACCATTGGTTTGAAAATGTGTGGAATGGGCGTTTCTGTAAAACACCTTGACCTGTAAGATAGAAGAGTGATGTAAGTGCGGTCCATTTACCATTTGTTTCCACCCAAGTTTTTTAGTGCACAGATTGCAAATGTGCTTAAAGACTGATGGTTGGATATCCACCTTGTTTCTTTGTATCCTTAGTCCTACATGTGTGGACACTTGCTGCCCCCAGAATAGACTACCATGGGCTGTAAGTGTTGAGTGAGTGCACATAAAATTTAACACCAAACAACACAAACACAAGTCAACACACTTTCAAACTTGCACACAGGTGCAAACAACACCACCCCATTAGTCCTGCGTTAGTTGTTGCCAGCACCCCAGGGGATTGTTTGTATGAGTGCCACAGCTTGAGTGCATTTATGGCTTCAGGTTCAGGGCCACGAATGTAAAACTCCCACAGGGCTCTGGTTCAGCTGCCCACTCTGAACTGGACAGCTCTGACTGGCATGCATTGGGATCTTACTTTCATGTCCACATTTATCAGTGGTCAATAGTCAAGAGGGAGTTCACTTTACATAGTTAATATTTTGTAAACCCATATGTTTTGTAAGGTAAAAGTGAATTTGTATAATAGTACCTATGGCAGTGTCATACTTCTCCATCTTTCTGTGTTTAGTGTGCCCTGCGGGGTTATTGCAGTAGGAATGCGATATGTTTCAACCCTGCGCCAGCATCACGTAATCCAACATGCTGTTCTCTTTTTGGTTGCAAAGTTGTTCCCTCATCACTTCTCTATGTGGCTGCAAACAGGAGACCCGAAGCAGCATGAACTGTCTCACTGAATTTCATATGATACAGGGGGTGCACCAAGTTATTGCACTGAAAATTTAAACACACACAGTTAGCTGATGTTGAGGAATAGATGATGGAGATATGGGGTTTCGTCTGACTGCACAAACAGGCTGCCTTAAATGAATTAGCACAGGTGACTGTGCTGATTAATGATGGTTGGCAATAAGAAAAAAAATCAGCATTTGTGCATTCAGTTGTTATTAATCAATCTGATCACCAGTCTGCAAAAGCAAGCTAGGTTTATTTCTTGCATGTGTTTTAATGGCTTGCCGTCTTTATTTCCTGGAGAACACAGGATTGCTTCACAGCAGCCATCAAACTCAGAGCGACTGCAGGAAGGAGAGGCACCCATGTCCACCTCCGTACTTCTCACCATTCAAGCTAACTGTGAGAGCTTACCTGTGAAACTCTGTGTCAGCTGAGCCCCGCCTACAGGTATTAAAAGAGTAAAATCGCTGTGTGTAACTTGTGTGCTACTTACATGTAACACAGTGGGTAGCTGCATTAATATGTAGGTAGGGATGTAGGGAGATGATGGGGTACAGAGGCACTTCTGAACCTATTGTAGCTCTTCAGTTTATCCATGTGAGTGTGTGTCTGCCCTTTGCAGAGGCAGTGTGTAATCAGCTGTCAAAGTGGGCTCTGTCCTCATGGTAGCAGTTGGGAACAGAGCCATGTGCTGGGTGATGACAAGCTCCCAGTTCCACTCTGCACATTGACCCATGCGACAGCAGCAGAAACAGAGGTGGAGGACACACAGGACACACAAGGATCCTGCACTTCTACAGCATATTGATTAGCTGCATGTTGTCAGTTATATGCATGGTGGTGTGACTGTGTGAGGCGTTTTGTTTGTGTGGTTTCCTGTGGTGTTTAGACTCCAGTGGCTGTATTGGCAACAACAAGGAACAGAGGTGAGATTTAAGTGATCAATATCTAATCAGTTTAATGTGAAGAAATATCCGGTACTGCAAATACTGCAAATTCAGTCATGTTTTTCTCTGTCCACATCTAAAATATACTTTGTTGTTACTTTAGAATTTAAAGATTCAGGGTCATATACAAACATGTCTGGTGCAATGAGGTGTGGCATGCTGATTAAGGCTCGTGTGAAAAACAAGAGCTGGAGAACATGAATATTAAGAAAGGAGGAGTTTGCA